CCAAGAGGGGCCCCAGAGGGGAACACGAACTGACGATTCCAGCGCTCCGCCCGAAATAGCTCCCAATAAACCCCAAGAGGCTTCCAAGGAGCCCCAAGAGGCCCTCAAGAGGCCTCCAAAAAGTCTCCGGACACCTCACAAAAGGCCTTGAAACTGCTTCCAACAAAACCCTCGAGAGGGTTCCCAAAACATCCCCACGAACATCATCATCATCATCATCATCATCATCATCATCATCATCATCATCATCATCATCATCAGCAACAGCATCAGCAGCAGCATCAGCAGCTTCAGCATCATCATCATCATCATCATCATCATCATCATCATCATCATCATCATCGTCGTCATCATCATCCATCATCATCAGCAGCATCATCATCATCATCATCCTCATCATCAGCATCATCATCACTATCATCATTACCATCACCATCACCATCATCATCATCGACATCATCATCACCACTATCATCATCACCATCACCATCATGACCGTCATCGTCGTCGTCGTCGTCACCACTGTCATCATCACCATCATCATCATCATCATCATCATCATCATCACCAACATCATCGTTATCGCCTGCATCGTCGACACCAGCAGCAACATCATCAGCATCAGCGTCATCATCATCAGCATCATGATCAGCATCAATCACCTCCACCGCCATCAACATCATTCGAAACAGCATCACCAGCAGCAGCATTAGCATCAACACAATCGTCAGCAAGATGATGATCATCATACTCATCGTCATCACCGTCATCATCAGCATCATTATCAGAAACATCATCAGCATCAGTACCATGGTCATGAAAAACATCACCAGCATCAGCAGTATCGTGGTCATCATCATCATCAGCGGCAGCATCATCGACAACATTATCAGCATCAGCATCATCATCGTCGTGATCGTCATCATCATCATCAGCATCATCATCATCATTGTCAGCATCATTATCATCATCCTCGACAGCAGCAGCATTAGCATCAGCATACTCGTCTGAATGATGCTGGTCATCATCGTCACTGTCACCGTCATCAGCATCATCAGCATCAGCATGATCATCAGCAGCATCATCAGCATCATTATCGTCGGCACTGTCATCATCATCTTCAGCAGCATCATCACCATAAGCATCCTCATCATCATCAGCATCAGCAGCAGCATTGTCATCGTCATCATCATCATCAGCAGCAGAATCCTCATGATAACTAGCATCACATAATCAACATCATCACCAGCATCAGCATCAGCATCACCACCATCATCATCAGCAACATCAACATCAATATCATCGTCCTCATCATCATCATCACCACTATCATCATCAGCATCATCACCACCACCATCATCAGCACAACCATAATCATTAACATCATCATCTTTTTATACATCATCAGCATCCCATCAGCATCATCATCCTCACCACCATCATCATCATCACCATCACCATCACCATCAACATCATCATCATTATCATCATCGTCACCGTCATCATCATTATCATCATCAGCAGCTTCATTATTATAATCATCATCGTTACCATGGTGTTCATCCCTCGCAATCACGGCCTCCGGTGCCCCTTCGAAGGAGAGCCGCCGAGCATCCTGGGCTTGCATGGTGTCGGGACTTGCCGCAGGCAGCCGGAGATCTCCCAAGCCGCTGCGCCAATGCCCAGTCCACCACCGCAGCACAATGTATCCTCGGAGTGCGCTGCTTAACGCTTCTGGCAATGTCTAGGGAGTCTGGTATATCCTCCGACAGGTCAGCTGTTCTCAACCAGTGGCGCTGGCTGGTTCTGCTCCGCCATGATTTCGGCGCCAGGTACGTCTACTTCCTCCTGTCATCCTGCACGCGTAGCCGCTTCAGTGCCAACCAAATGTGTCTCTGATCAGCTTCTATCTCCAGACACGGTCGAGAACCCGAAAAATCACCGCGACGCGCCGATTCCAAGGTTCATACCTGACCGGTACGAGCGGCCATCGGACGGTTTACCCCATGATTAGCAGAAACTTTTTCTCGCCAGTGCAAGCTTGACCAATCCTTCAAAACACGAATCCCATGTACGTATCACTAGGCCGTCTTGGCATTGACTTGGCCAGTTGGTCCGGGCTGGACGTGAGTAGCAGCTGCCCGAAACCTGCGACTTTTCGGGCAAGCGGCCCCTCATCCTCCTCCTCGCCCTTCTCTTCCTCACCCGTACCCCCTCCTCCCTCTTCTCCTCCTCCCTCCTTCCCCCATGTCCCTCGTCGCCTTCCTCTTCCTCCTCCTCCTCCTCCTCCTCCTCCTTCTCCTCCTCCTCCTCCTCCTCCTTCTCCTCCTCCTCCTCTTCCTCCTACTGATACTCGACCTCCTACTCGACCTCCTCCTCCTCCTCCTCCTCCTCCTCCTCCTCCTCCTCCTACTCCCTCCTCCACCTCCTCCTCCTCCTCCTCGACCTCGGCTTCCTATGCCTCGTCCTCCTCCTTCCACTCGCCCGCGAGAAAGCCCCCCTGCGTTATGAAGACAGAGCTCCGATCCGACCACTCTCACACAGCATGCCTCAACTTAAGGAGGAGTAGAAGGGCGACGACAAGGACAAAGACAAGCGGTAGCACAGAGCAACTGTTGAACGACGGACGAGACCGATGCGCAATGCGGCTGCACGTACCAGAGAGACTACTTCAGGCAATAGCCAAAGTCGGCCCGTATCTGATGCGCGTCGCCCACACGGCAGGAGAGAAGAGGACCGAGGGGTGAGGGAGAGAGCTAGGGCTCCCAACTTCGCGCTTCGCGCTGCGCGAAGCGCGAAGCGCGAATAACTTCGCGCTCTCGCGCCGCCCTCCCAAAGGGAGAACAGGAGGACGAGGAGGAGGGGGAGGAGGAACGAGGACCGCGAAGCGCGAATAACTTCGCGCCCTCGAGGGAGCCCTTGGAGAGGGGGGAGACCGAGGAGAAGGACCCGCGTAAACCCAATATATCCACCTGTTGAATGCTGCGGCACGCCCTCCCGTCGCGAGTCTGATGGGGCCATCTTCCACCAACACTACCATAGGCAAGAGAGGGAGGAGGAGGAGGAGGAGGAGGAGGAGGAGGAGGAGGAGGAGGAGGAGGAGGACCTCCTCATCCGACCTTCTCCCCCGTCCAACATATGGTAGTGGCAGCGGAAAAGTTACCCACCAGAGTCCCCTCCTCCCCAGGCCCTACACATACATCCCTCCCCACTGCGGGGGACGCGCGCCCCCGTGGACGGACGAACACGCCTCGGGGGCCCACCATGGAGGCGAGTTTTGTCTGGTAAAGGATGCCCACCCGCCTTTCGTCCTTCCAGCTATACTTGAAATCCCTTACTAGTCGACCCCACCCTAAGAAACCGGACCCCCCCGTCAACGGCAACCTAATTTTCAGGACCCCCCTGTCAACAGGGGGCCCTCATATTCCACAACCCTCTCGTCTTCGAGTTAAAGAAACCGCCCTGGTAAACCGGACCCCAGCTATAACATACGAGCGACAAACAAAAAAAACGTCTCCTGCGTAAGATGGCGCAGCGACCCTACGCGGCGGCTCACGCGGGCCGCCGGCGCGGCACGCTGCATCGGAGACGGGGGCGTTCGCGCGCGGCCTCGCGCGGGCAACTTGCGCGACAATATGTCGGCGAAGACGGACCCGTTTTCCGCGGCGCTCGCATGCAGATGGGTGGGGGCCAGAAAGTTCCAAGGCAGGGTGCGGCGATAACTCCGTCTAAGAGGGGCCGGCCCTCCATCCGTGCAGACGCTGAACGATTTCCATGCTATAGATATACATAGTCCAAAACAACTCCAGACTGATCTCAATCTTGAAAACAGCCGACCTCCATGCGAAACCAGTTCGCAATTGTGAACATCGGGCCATAAACATCGGGAGGTAAAAATCAAGCAGCCGCGACCCCGATTCGGGGAACGCTTCCGAAGCGGCAGCGATTGGCATTGCATCCCCTTGCTTGTCATTGTATTGTTTTGTAATGTGTTGCGTTGTTTCGCGTTGATTGGCGTGGCCTGGCAGGGCGTGGCATCGCTTGGCTCTGCAGAAACAAAACCAAGGAACCCAGGAAACCCGAGGAAGCTTCTTTTAAACAAGAAAAATACAAGGCCAAGGTACAAGGTGAACCCGAGGAAGGTCTCTTCAAAAACAATGAGGAAACAAGACCTAAGAACACGAGGGGCCCGAAGGCTTTTTTTCGTCAAAACGAAAAAGGAAACAAGGCCCAGGAACTCGGGAAAACCCCAGTCGGGCCTCCTCAACAACAGCGAGGAAACAAGACCACGGAACCAAGGGAATCCGAGGAAGGTCCTTTTCAAACCCACAAAGAAACAAGACCAAGGAGCCCAGGAGGCCCGAGGAAGGCCTCGTCAAAAACAGAGAAGGAAACCAGATCAAGGTACTCGGGTCGCCCGAGGAAGGCGTCGTCAACGGCAGCACGGAGGGACACAGGACCCGGGGGGGGGGGGGGGGGGGGGGGGCGAGGAAGGCCTCTCCAAGAACAGCGCGGAGACAAGACCGAGGAACCCAGGAAACCCGAGGAAGGCACCCTCGAAAAGAGAAAGGGATCACAACCAAGCAACCCAGAGGAGAGCCTTTTTCAAGAGACGCCCTGGAGCCAGAACGTGGTGTAGGCCCTCAGCCTCCCGTCGAGCGTCATGCGCGCCGACGCGGCAGCTCGCCGCGCAGGGCCCTGGTCCTTGGCCGCCGTGACTTGCAGCTGTGCCCCGAAGACGCCGTTGCGGCTGACGGCGCCAGTGATGGTCACCTTGATCGAGGGCTCGAAGACGCCGCCGTTGGCCAGGTGCTCGAGGCCAGTACCCTTGCTGACCTCGCGCCACTGCCACGCCTGCACTGCGCGCAACAGGAGACGCCTGACGATCCATGGGGCCAGCTCGAAAGCATTGATGTCGGCACCTTCGTGCGTGCGCCAGGTGGTGGCGTTGACCACCTGCAAACCGACCCGCTCGAGGGTGAGCCGCACCGCACTGAAAGGGCCCACGCACCTGGTTCCGGCTCTGGACCTGGCAGCAAGCCATGCCGTAGTCGATGGTGTGCTGGGGAATCCAGCTTTCCCAGGCCGCCCGCAGCAGCATCATGGTGGGCAGGAGCGTGGCTCTGATCATCGGGTCGAGCATGGGCGTCAGCATTAGGGTGAGCGTGCGCGACCGTCCAGCCACGCTGGGCGCGACCGCCTTGAACGACTCCGTCCGCAGCGTGTCCAGCTCCATGGTGGCGCAGCCAGTGACGGTGACGCCGTAGGTCACGCTGGGATCGATGCCAGCCCTGGCGACCTTGCGCGCAGCCTTCTTGCACCCTGCCCCTGTCTTGGGGATCGCCACACGGCGTTGACGGAGCCCTGCCTGCACCAGCTTCTCCTGGCACACCGTGCGCGCGATTCGCCTGCCACACGAGAAATCAACGCCCAAGTTGCGCTCACCTTTGACCGAGATCACGCCGAGCGGCCGGCGCAGACGGGCTGCCAGGCCATGGCGAGCAGCTGGGAGGTTCGCCGAAGCCCTTGACTTCTTGACCGCCACGTCGAGGTCCACGTCCATGAGTAGCGTTTTGAGCCTGAAAGCAGCCTCGACAACCTCCTTCGTCACCCGCACGAGCCCGCCAACTCGATGGAGCATGAGGTCGTCCACGACCACCGCCAGCGACACGGTCGGATGTTGGATGACCAGGCGGTCGAGCGGCCCGATCAGGATGAGCTTCAGCAGCGAGGTCGCGAAGCCGTCACCAGGTAGGATGGACTGCGACGCTTCGATCACGCTCGAGGCAGCGCTGCCCACGCAGAGGACCCTCGGCGCGCAGTATAGCTCCAGCGTCAGCTTGAGCTGCCACAGCGGGAAGCCAGTGGTGATGGCAGCGTCGAGCAGCCAGTGGTGTCGCACCTGCTCGAACGCCTTGAGCAGGTCGAGCAGGACGGCGACCGCCACCCATGACTCGGCGTCGCCGCTGTCAGCACCCCGCTGCGTGGCCCACTCTCCGATCGCAGCTTGATGCCATACGGCCCGCTCGCAGCTGCGGCCAGCCGTCGCCCACCGGTATGGGCGATCGTTTGCCTCCTCCCACTTGCGGGCGAGGCCACGCCGAAGTCGTGCCTGCACCCTCGCGAGCACCATGATGACGGCGATGGGCCTCACTCCGCCCAGCCCGTTTTGGATGAAGCCGATCTTGGTGGTCATGAGCGGCCAAACGGCGTCGCGCTCGATCGCCATGAGGACGTCGATGAGGACCTCCAGCGCCTCGTCGCATAGCTCATCAAGCTGACGCGGCCTCACGGCACAGAAGGACATGCCCGTAGTGGCCCTGAAGGAGCGCAGCACGTTGCGCAGCTCCCGGACTGAGGGCCTCGGCGGCCTCTCGCCCAGGTCCGAGGGCCAGTGCAAGCGCATGTGTTCGCAGGATGTCCTCCACCAGCGACTCCACTCGTACCTTGAGCTGCGTCACCTCCTGCCCGAGGTCCATGGGCTCGAACAGCTGCCTGCCGTCGCCGAGGCCGTCGTCCTCGGCTTTGCCGATGGGGTTCGGGTCGAACCCGATGGGCAGACGGGATACTGCGTGAAGACCGCCACCTCCGCCTTCGGCCTGCTTCTCGACCCACTGCTGGAACTGGACGGCCCGCTGCGCCATGTCCCGCTCCTCCATCTCGAGCGCGACCGCGCGCGCGCCCGCGTGCAGCTGCTGCAGCACGACAGGGTCCAGCAGGGACAGACGCTGGAGGAGGAGGAGGAGGAGGAGGAGGAGGAAGAGGAGGAAGAGGAGGAGCAGGAGGAGGAGGAGCAGCAGCAGCAGCAGGAGGAGAAACGGAGCAGGAGCAGGAGGAGAGGAGGAGGAGGAGAAGAAAAATACTACTCAGAATGCTAAGAAGAAGGAACACACTAATAATAATAATAATAATAATAATAATAATAATAATAATAATAATAATAATAATATTAATAATAATAATAATAATACGAATAATACTACTAATACGAATAGTAATAATAATACTGATAATAATCGTACAAATAATAAAAACAACAATAATAATGATGAGGATGATAATAATAAACTAAGAGGAATACGAAAAAGATGAATACTAATTATAATAATAATAATAATGCTGATAAATGTAAGAAGAAAATAATAATGAAATAATAATAATAAAACGAATACTATTAATATTAGAAATAAGAAGAATAATACGAGCAATACTAATAATGTGGATAATAATAAGGAAAGTAATAATAAGGATAACCAGCAGAAGCATACGTAATAATAATGAGACGAAGAAGCAGCAGGATAATAAGAAAAATAAGAATACTAATAATAATAAGAAGAAGAAGAAGAAGAAGACGAAAAAGAAGAATAAGGACGAGGAGGAGGAGCAGCAGGAGGAGAAGCAGCAGGAGCAGGAGGAGCAGGAGGAACAGGAGGGAGAAAGAAGGGAGGGGCAGGAGGAGGAGCAGTAGCAGCGGCAGGGAGAGAGGTGGAGGAGGAGGAGGAGGACGAGGAGGAGGACGAGGAGGAGGAGGAGGACGAGGAGGAGGAGGACGAGGAGGAGGAGGAGGAGGAGGGAGGCAGAGGACTAGACGTGCATGAGGCACGGCCTGCGAGCCTGCGCGAATTCGGCAGCGCCCCGCGGACAAGCGAGGCGCGGCGCGGCCGCCTTCGCAGCGCGCGCCAGGGCTGCGTGCGGGGGCCATTCGGCCAGCGCCCGCCGAAGAAAGTTTGGCGGCAAGCCCAAGGGGAAGTGAGAAGGGGCGGGCCTTCTCACGACGACGACGGCGACGACGACGACGACGACGACGACGACGACAACAACAACACCGCCTGCGGACCAAACACCTATGCGGATTCCTACGCGGACACCTACGCGGATCCCAATGCGGCGGCAGTGCCCAGAGCGCACTGGGGGGGAGCGTTACGTCATGGGGGGTGGGGAGCGGGGGCCATGACGCCCGTCATGCCCCAAGCAATAAAGAAACGGGCACCTGGGAAGTCATCCAGCCTTCTGAAACATTGTTCGAAGCCATGCCCCGAAGGCACGGACAAAAAAGCCTTCCCGGAAGGCGCGAGGGCTTCCGAGAAGTCCCGCCGCCTTCGGAGAAGGCCTTCTCCTTCTCGCTCTCCCCCTTCGCTCGCCGCCGAAAAGTGGGAGGGGAGATCGTGCGCTCCGGAGCGGCGCCACGCTGCTCGACGGCGCGTACAGGTGGGGTTCGACACGGGGGGGGGGGCCTTCTGCGAAGGCAGGCGGGGTCTTGGAATTTCTCCTAGAAGGCCTCTTGAAGGCAGGAACAACCCCACCAGCCCTTTACGGCGTAGGTGGTCTAGGGCGGCTTCTCTTCCAACCCCCTTCTTCCCCCTTCGGGAAGGGGCTTATCACTGTTCCCTATATACACCCCCTCCCCAAGGCGACCGGCAGCCAACCAGGAACCATGCTCACCCCCCAACACTATCCCTGTCAAAGACAACACAAAACGCACTCTGCCTTCACATTTGGAGCATGCGCGGCCAGCCCGATGCGGTCCCCCCACCATCCCTGTCAAAAAATCCAAAGTACATTTTGTGGCAAAGTCTAGGGTCATGTTCGTAAGGCCCGCGAGCACTTTGTATGGTTTTTGCCAGGGACGGCGGGGGTGTCAGCATATTGCCTGCTGTGCGCAAGGCTACCATCCCTAACAAAAAACAATACAAAATGCACCTCGCGGCTAAATCTGGATCGTGCGCGGCCAGGCCAACCCGCGATCACTGTCAATTTGGTTTTTGACAGGGACGGCGCAGGTGGTGGCGCACGGCCTGCTGTGCGGAGGCCCACCAAACACAATGATGGGCATTGGTTTTCGACAAGGATGTTGGGGGCCGACATGTTTCCCGACGTGCGCTGTCACGTGCGCAGGCGCACCTGACACGCTCTGCACGTGCCCCGAACGTGGCGCACCTGGCGCGGCTGGAGTATGCGGCACACCTGGCGCACGCGGAGCAAGTGGCGCATCTGGCGCACCAGCCGTGCCTGGCACGCTCGGGCCCCAGGGGTGCCTGGCGCGCGTGGCGCGCCTAGCACGCGTGGCGCACCTCGCCCCAGCGTCGCGCACATGTCGGGTTTGCTTCCCAGTAGCTGTCCATCCAAAGACGACCGCTGAACATGCTCAGGCTCGGCTGTTACCCATGTGTTGGGAGGGCGGGTGGGAGTGAGCTAGACGATTTGCTATCCAAGGGGTGCCTTGATCCTTGTTCCTTATTACTATATACCCCCACCTACCTCGTATTCCGGCCGATAGCGGCCCAATCCGGGACCTCCCATCCAAACTATACAAATCAATACAAAATGGTCGTTTTTCTTCTCAACATCGTCTGTCTTGTCGTCGACGATGCGAAAAGCGTGGCAGGAATGGGACGTGGCGCACATCGCGCGCGGCAGTCAATCTGGGCCCGCCCATCCTGACTGCAAAAAAATCAATACAAAACCTTCGCTTTTTCATCTCAACATGGCCTGCCTGGTCGCCGACGGTGCGAAATATGTGGCAGCAGTGGGACGCGGCGCACATATGGGACGCGGCGCACATCGCGCGCGCGGCCGTCAATCCGGGCCCGCCCATCATGATTATAAAAAATCAATGCAAAGTCTCCGTTTTTTCCTCTCAGATGGCCTCCCTTGTCGCCGACGGTGCGAAATATGTGGCAGGAATGGGACGCGGCGCGCATCGCGCGCGGACGTCCATGCGGGCTGCGGGCCCTCCCATCCTGATTGTAAAAAACAATACCGAGTTGCTGCTTTTCCTTTCATCATGGCCTGTCTTGTCCTAGACGATGCGGAATGCGTGGCAGGAGTGGGGCGCGGCGCACAGCGCGCGCGGACTTCTGAGGCAACCCCAAGGCGGGAGGGGCCACCTTACTTGTGAGAAGCACTGCCATGCTGATTTTCCCTGCCCACATAGCTTCTTGTCGTCCACCCCGCAAAAATGCATGGCAAGAATTGGGCGCGGCACCCCCCCCTCCCCCCCCGCTCGAAGTGAATGAAATGACCTTCCCGCTTGGGCGCCGAGCGACATTTTCGCAAAGTTGCGCTCCCGCTTTGGCTCGGCGCACGTTTCTAGCTCGTCAATTCATTGGGCGCCGGGGCGTTCCAGGAGGCCCTGGTGTGACGAATGCCTGGGAGGTTTTTGCTTGTTCAGGCTCTTGGAGGGCCTCGAGAGGCTCCCCGCGGTTTCTTGGCGGCGTCTTCGGCCGTCTGGAGGCCATCTTGGGCGTCTTGGTACGATCTTTCGGCGACTCAAGGCCCCTCGGATCGTCTTGGGGGCGTCTCGGCTCTCTTGGGGCGTTCCTGGGGCGCTCTGGGACCTGGAAGTCAGCGCCGAAGAAGAAAACCATCGCTGGGACCGACGCGCCCAGGACCTGCTCGGGGTTCTTTTCGTCCAGGGGCCCCCAGGGGCCGCCCCGACGATATAAGATAAACGACGGGCGTCGGACGCGACGCGCTTGCTTCTTATGTTGTGGGAGGGCGGGTGGGAGTGGACGGAGCCCTCTCGCTCGTTCGAGCTGGCTAACTTGACCCCTCCCCCTACCCCCTCCCCTGGACCTGGACGGGGGGTTCGCGAAGGGTTGGCGCGTCCACGATGGCCCAAGATGGCTCCAAGAGCGCCTGGGAGAGCCCACGATGAACTCCAAGATGGCTCTAGGTAGCGCAAGATGGCTCAAGTTGGCTTCCAAGACGCTCCAAGAGGCTCCAAGACCGCCCCAAGACGGACCCAAGTGGCCCGACGGCTTTCCAAGGAGGCCCCCAAGAGGCCAAAATCAACAAAAACTTGCGGAACGTCCTTGTTGCTTGCTTTCTCGCCTTTTCGCTACTGATGGCCTTCCGATGCCTCAATATGGCTCCAAGATGGCCCAAGAGGGCCCCAAGAGGGGCCCAAGAGAGCCCCAAGACGGCGCCAGGAGCGTCCAAGAGCGCTCCAAGAGCGCCCCAAGAGGCGATTTTAGAGGCTCCCGAGGGGCAGTGCTAATTGGAGCTCCCCTCTTTTTTGATCGATGTCCTCCAAGATGGCCCCAAGAGCGCCCCGCAAGCCCAAGACCGCCCCAAAAGGGCCCCAAGAGGCGCCCAGACGGCCCCACGAGGCGCCGAAGAGGCCTCCAAGAGGCTCCCAAAAGAACCCGACGAAGCCTCAATAGGATCCCCGAGACACCCAAGACGCTCCAAGAGGCCCTCTGGGCGCCTCGCTTGGGCATCGTTTCTGGATGGGCTGGTGGGGTTACTTTTTTTTTATTGCGGCCACGAGGCAAAGGTCAGGCGGCAAGAGCAGTGTCCGGGGCAGCTGGTGGGGTTACGCGAAGCGTCTAGACTTCAAAGAATGCAGCCAACCCGCACCAGAAAACCGCACGATAAGGGTGCAAGGGCATTGGAAGGCCATGCCGACACTTTGCGAGCTGGGCGCGGCCAGCGAAAGCGGCCAAGGATGGGCCGAAGGGGAAGGATGCAAGGACAACCTTGGAAAGCTGCTCATCCTGACTATGCAGGTCAACTGTGCCTTCTTGAAAGGCAGCCCCCCCCCGCCCCAACCCCCTGTGCTCGCCGCCAAGAAAGGAAAGACATTGCCCTCCGGAGCCGCGCCGCTCTGCGGTCCGGCCGCCCTCAGCTGGGCTTCTGGCCGACCATCAGCCACATGGGCGTGAAGCAGGCCGTGTGGCCGCCCTGGGCGCACCCGATGCCGCCCGCCTGCTTTGGACGCCCGAAATGGGTACGGAAAGAATGGGTACAATGCCCAACAGCAAATGTTGTCCCAAACCAACAGCGGCCGCTGTTGGGCAGGCGGCCTCCTGCCTCGAATGGACACAGGCCGCGGCGGCGTGGACAGCGAGTCCTGTTCAAAATGAACCAAATCCGCTGTTGGGCATCGTACCCATTCTTTCCGTGCCCATTTCGTTCGTGCAGACCTGCAGCATCACCTGGGTGCTCGCGGTGCCGGCGGGCACGAGGCGCACCTGCGCCACGAAGTATATATATATATATATATATATATGTATATACACTGGGCAGTTTTTTTAAAGCGTTAAGTTTGTTCTTCAACAGAACAAACATAGGATTGTTAATACATGACGAATGTATGACTGCGGAGCATGTATTAAAAACGGCACTGTACACAGTCGCCCCCCGACGAACTTTGCATGCACCTTCGGAGAGAACGGCGATGAACAGAGTCGCTGGCCCTCAGTGGTGAAATATACAGTGCCACCCTCCCCACGAGGCCCGCGAGCAATCCATTGGAGGGCGTCTGCGTCAACATACATATATAGATATAGATACACACATACGTCTATACTGTGGTGGAGCACCAGCTCGAAGAAGCGGAGGACGATCGGCATCAGCCTGACCATGGGCGGGTTGAACTGGAACCTCGGCCACTTCGTCGGGTTCCAGGAGGGCATGAGGGGCATGTACCATGGCTCTCCGCCTTCGCCTGCCCCTCCAGCGGCCATGTCCCGCGCCTCGATAACCTTGAAACCAACCTCTCGGGCGCGGCCTGACCGACCTCTGGCAAACCATCCCCTTCCGTGACGTCATCCTCACCCTTCGAGCGCCCCACGTCTTGGCGGAGGAGGAAGGAAGAGGAGGAAGAGGAGGAGGAGGGGGGGAGAAGGAGGGAGGAGGGGGGGAGGGGGGGGGGGAGGGGGGGGGGGGGGGGGGGGGGAGGGGGAGGGGGAGGGGGGAGGGGGGAGGGGGAGGGGGGGGGGAGGGGGAGTTGTGTGTGTGTGTGTGTGTGTGTGTGTTGTGGTGTGTGTGGGTGTGTGTGGGTGTGGGTGTGGTGTGTGTGGGTGTGTGTGGGTGTGGGTGGTGTGTGTGTGGGTGTGGGTGTGTGGGTGTGTGTGGTGTGTGGGTGTGTGGGGTGTGTGGGTGTTGTGGTGTGTGGGGTGTGTGGGTGTGTGGGTGTGTGTGTGTGTGTGTGTGGGTGTGTGTGGGTGGTGTGGTGTGTGGGTGGTGTGGGTGTGTGGGTGTGTGTGGGTGTGTGGGTGTGTGGGTGTGTGGGTGTGTGGTTGTGTGGGTGTGTTGGTGTGTGTGGTGTGGGTGTGTGGGGTGTGGGGGTGTGGGGGTTTGTGGGGTTGTGGGGTTGGGGGGTGGGTGGGTGGGTGGGTGGGTGGGTGGGGGTGGGTGGGTGGGTGGGTGGGTGTGTGTGTGTGTATGTGTATGTGTGTGTGTATGTGTGTATGTGTGTGTATGTGTGTGTATGTGTGTGTGTGTGCGTGTGTGTGTGTGTGCGCGTGTGCGCGTGTGCGCGTGTGCGCGTGTGCGCGTGCGTGTGCGTGTGTGTGTGTGTGTGTGTGTGTGTCTGTGTGTGTTTGTGTGTGTGCGCGCGTGTGCGCGTGTGCGCGTGTGCGCGTGTGCGCGTGTGCGCGTGTGCGCGTGTGCGCGTGGTGTGACGTGGTGTGGCGTCTTGGTGGTTTGGTGGTGGGCCAGGTGCGTACGTGCGTGATGGCGGTGGTGGTGGTGGCGGTGGTGGTGTGTGTGTGTGTCTGTGTGCGTGCGTGCGTGTGTGTCTGTGTGTGCGCGCGTATGATGTGGTGTGACGCGGTGTAGCGTGGTGGTGGTGGGCGGGGTAGTGCGGTGGTGGTGGCGGTGCGCGGTGGTGGTGCGCGTGCGTGCGTGCGTGCGTGCGTTGGTGGGTGGAAGTGGCGGTGGGTGTGCGTGCGGCGGGGCGGGGCGTGGTGCGGCGCGGTGGTGGCGGGCGGATGGGCGCGCGAGAAAGAGGCCCGCGCTGGGGCGAGAACACCATCCTGAACGACGGAGGCAAAACACCGATCCGAAAATGAGGCCCACGCTGCAGCGGGAGCACGATTCGGAACGATTCGGGAGCAGAAATGAGGCCGGCGCCTCAGCGAGAGCAGCATTTTGAAAAAAAACAAGCGAAAACCCAACTCCCGGGAATCCTGTGTAAAAAAACAGTACGCGGGGGGGTCTACTACTCCCAGGACGCCATCAGGGGAAGAGGGAGAGTAGTATTCATATTGAGTAATTGTGGAGAGGAGGACAGGCTAGGTGCGCTCGCGTCATATCTGACGTCCTACCTCTCCCTCCCATCCCTTACCATGGCGTAGATCTCCTCTCTACTCGCCCAGTCGGATGTCGAGATGATCCCGAGAGGGTGCGCGATGCATCGTAGAGCACGGCATAGAGCAGGGCGTAAAGGGCACAGCGGCAGAGCGTAGTATGTCATAGCATGGCGTGGCGTTGCGTGGTGAAAAATTGTGTCAGAAACCATTGCAACGCAAATAAAGGCATCGCACAGCGGCACAGAACAGAACACGGCACAGCATGGCGTTGAAGATCAAAGCGTAGCATGGCATAGCATGGCGTGGCACTGCGTAGCCAAGCACTGCATATCCGAGCATTGCAGCTGAAGGCATGGCATCGCACAGCGGAGCACCACATAGCATTGCATTGCATGCCGTGGCATGGCACTGGAAATAATGACGCCAGCGCTGCTGCGGGAGCACGATTCGGAACGAGCGGGAGCGCGGAAATGAGGCCAGCGCTGAAGCGGGAACACGGTTCGGAACGAGCGGAAGCCCGAAAATGAGACCAGCGCTTCAGCAGAAACAACAGTTTGAAAAAAGAAAGAGAGAGAGAGAGAGAGAGAGAGCAAACAAAAAAAACTCCAGGGGAATCCCGTACAAAAAAACGGAGGGGGGGCGAGCATCTTCCGGACGTCATCAGGGGAGAGAGGAGAGTAGTATTCATATGGTGCAACTGTGGAGAAGGAGGAGGAGGAGGAGGAGGAGGAGGAGGACAAGGAGGAGGAGGAGGAGGAGGGAGGAGGAGGAGGAGGAGGAGGGGGGAGGAGGAGGGGGAGGAGGCGGAGGAGGAGGAGGAGGAGGAGGAGGAGGAGGAGGAGGAGGAGGAGGAGGAGAGGAGGAGGAGGAAGGAGGAGGAGGAGAGAGGAGGAGGAAGGAGGAGGAGGAGGAAGGGGAGGAGGAGGAGGAGGAGGAGGAGGAGGAGGAGAAGAGGAAGGGGGAGGAAAGGAGAGGAGGAAGGAGGAGGAGAAAAGGAGGAGGAGAAGGAGGAGAGGAGGAGGAAGAGGGGGGAGGAGGGAGGAGGAGGAGAGAGGAGGAGGAGGAGGGAGGAGGAGGAGGAGGGAGGAGGAGGAGAAGGAAGGGGGAGGGGGACGAGGAGGAGGAGGAGGAGAAGAGGAGGAAGGGGAGGAGGAGGAGGAGGAGGAGGAGGAGAAGGAGGAGGAGGACCTTTTGGACCTTTTGACCAAGCACAGGGTCGTGCGGGAAATGGGGGGGGGGAAGGGGGAGAAGAGCGGACCCAGTACGGGGGTGCTTTGGTGCAGGCGGAACCCCACCTCACCGCCACACCCCCGCACCTCCCACTGGCCAACGAGCCCTCCGAGGGAGGGCCCGTTAACCAGCGGAGGCGGGCGGCCCACCGTCCCCACCCACGGGCACAGCAGCACGAACGTACAACCTCTCCAGGCCGCCGCGTTCGCGCGCATCGAGGGCAGCTTGCACGGGCTTCGGCACCCCCTCTCTTCGGGGGTACTCGCCCCCCTCGATGCGGCTTAAATTATCCCGGCTTTTGCGGGACATGCCCTCGCATTTCGCCGCGAGGTGGCGCCCGTCGACCGTGGCGTACCTGCCACAGTTGGTACAGAAGTTCTAGACGCTTCGCGTATCCCCACCAGCCCGTCCAGAAACGACGCCCAGGCGAGTAGAGGGTCGTCCTGAGGGGCTTGTCGGCGTCTTGGGTGCCTCGGGGGGGCCTCTTTGGGCCGTTTGGGATCCTCTTGGGGGCCTCCTGGGGGCCTTTTGGGGCCATCTTGGGGCCATCTTGGGGCCTCTTGGTGCCCCCTGGGCGCTTCTTGGGGCCATCTTGGAGGAAATCGATCAAAGAAGAGGGGGGCTTCAATTAGTGCTGCCCCCCCTGGCGGCCAAAATGGGGCCAAAACCTTAGTAAAATCAATGAGTGTGGCTTCCTCGGCGAGGCCGCTTTGGACGCTCTGACCGCTCCCCGCCCCCCCTGTCCAGGCCAGTGGGGAGGGGGTAGGGGAAGGGGCAAACCCCTCCCCGAAGGGGAAGAAGGAGGGGTGGAAGAGGAAACGCTCTAAACCACCGACGCCCAGAGGGCTGGTGGGACTCATGAGGTACCGCTCCCACCGCTGGACGGCATGGGAGGGGTGCACATCCCTGCCAGCCGCCAAGTCCCCGCCACTCGCCCCCACTCCCAGGACAGGGAGGCCTCGGCACTGGGTCTTGGCGGCTCCGATGAGCCGAGCCACGGGCACAACTATATCACACTGACTGCACCTCCAGGAGCCCTTGGCTTGCTCGAAGCGGTGGCTGGAGGTCTGCAGCGCGAGCTGCCTCCTCGAAGGGGGGGGCTCTCCGCTGCACAGAGGCCCGCACTCCACTCCATGGGTCAGCCACCGCGGCCATGGCCAACGCGCGCCTTGCGCGCGCTCTAACCAGGGTGCCGATCGCATCCTAGTGGTCAGTCCGAGGCTCGCCCCCCTCCACCGACACCGCCCTTCCCCTCCCAGCCGCCGCCCCCGCCTCCTCATCGGCCAGGGCGTTGCCCTGAATTAGGTAAGGATCGATCGGGTCGCTGAGAGAGGCGGTTTCGTCCATGTGGGAGGGGGTCCATTTCAGGTTCACCCCCGCCGACCGAGCCTGGAAAGCCACCCGAATTCTAGACCGCAAATCTTGACTTGCGCCATTCTTATGGAACTGCCGACCCATCCCCCATGCGTTCATGAGGGGCTCGTGGCCAGTCACAAACAGAAGCCGCTCGGGGACATGCTCTAACGCGATGGCAAACGCGAGCAGCCCCGCACAAGGGACCGTTTGACGCTGACCCCCTACAGGGGTCGAAAAGCCCCACGCCATCCTCCAGCCCCCTTGGCCGTCAGGCTGCATGGCGATCACCGCAGTGCCACACCTACGTCTACGCGGGTCCGCACTGTGCCCCCCCCCCGATCCGTCTCCGAAAACCACCACACTCCCAAAGTTGGGATGCGGCTCAACCTCAGAAATCGGGAGCGGCCCCAGGGACCGAAGGTTTTCTTCAGAAAAAACCGAGAGATGGGTGTAGCTCTTAGGCGGCACTCCTCTAAGCCACAGCACTGGGCAGCTCTCCCATTGCACCTGGGCCTGCTGTCCGATACACTCACTCTTCTCGAATTCGTTGAAACCAACGTTGCAGGGGCACTCCCATACCCGATGGAAAAGAGTCTCTGTGCCCTGCTGGCACCTTGGACATTCTGTGGCTACTTCATATCATAGGGCCGCCTGTCGTTCTCGGGTGAACTGTCTACCTGACACAACCGCATTCTGGAGGCCTATGAGCTCATAAGCTTCCTTTGCCAAAAACTTGCGGACTTCGCGACTCGCCAAGAGAACGTCCCCTCCCCCAGGCTCCAATACCTCACCACCATAATGAGAAGCAGCCAGGGTCCAAAACTGGGACGCAAAATCCTGGACCAGGTCTTCGAGCAATTCGGTGAAAGCTGCAT